CATTCATTGTTTAGTAGGAGGTTAGACATCCTATGATTAAGCCTTTAGTCCGTTTACATTTAAAGTAATTATTGATGAGTATATAGTTATTGATATTTTATTGTTTTTATGATTGTTTTTGTAGTTCTCTGTTTTTATTCTCTTGCTCTCTTGTGTGTTGATGACTCTCTAGTGTTGTGTTTGGAATGTTGGCTGATTCACTGCTTTTATTGTTTGCCTTTGAGAAGTTTCTTTTCTGTATTTTTAATTTGTATTTTGTATCTTAAAGAAGTCCCTTGAACATTCCTTGAAATACAGGTTTATAGTAATCAACTCCTGTAGCTTTTTCTTGTCTGCGAAGTTCAATTCTAAATTGCTGGGTAGAGTAATCTTGGTTGTAGGTCCTTGCTTTTAATCACTTTGAACTATTTTGTGCCAGTCCCTTCTGGCCTGCAAAGTTTCTGTTGAGAAATTAGCTGGCAATCTAATGGGAGGTCCCTTGTATGTCACCAACTGCTTTTCTCTTGGAACTTTTAAGATTTTCTCTTTGGGTTCATCTTGTTTGGGACTCTGCACTTCCTGGACTTATATGTTTATTTCCAGATTAGAGAAGTTTTCAGTTATTATTTCTTCAAATAGGGTTTCAGTCCCTTGCTCTCTGTCTTTTCCTTCTGGTACCCTTATGTGTGAATGTTGTTTCGCTTGATATCGCCCCAGATGTCCATTAAACTATCTTCATTATGTTGTTGTTGTTGTTGTTGTTGTTAATCCTCACCCAGAGATATATTTTTCATTTATTTTTAGAGAGAGTGGAAGTGGGGTGGGGGAAGAAAGAGGGAAAGAGAGAAACATCGAAATGAGAGAGACACATCAATTGGTTGCCTCCCACCCAAGGCCAGGGATCAGCTGGGTATTGAACCTGTGATCCTTTGTTGTGTAGGCTGATGCTGTAATCATTGAGCCACACAAGCCAGGGCAGTATCTTCATTCTTTAAAATTTTTTTCTTTTTGTTGTTATGATTGGGTGTTTTCTGCTATCTCGTCTTCCAGTTAATTGATTAAATCCTGTGTTTCATCTAATCTGCTGTTGTTTCCCTAATGGATTCTTTGTTTCAGTTATTTTATTCAAATCTACTGGTTTGTTCTCACCTTTTCTATCGACTTTTTCCCTCCATTTTCTTTCTTTTGTTGAAGTTTTCACTGAGTTAATCTGTTCTTCCCCAAAATTTATTGCGCATTCTTTTTTTAATCCTTACCCGAGGACATTTTTTTGCATTTATCTTCATATAGAGAGGGAGGGAGAGAGAGAGAGAGAGAGAGAAACTTCGATGTAAGAGAGACATTGACTTGTTGCCACCCGTACAACCCCTACCGGGACCAGGGACAAACTGTAGCCAAGGTACACGCCCTTAGCGAGAACTGAACCCGGACTCTCTGGTCCATGGGCTGATGCTCTAACTGCTGGGACAAACCAGCCAGGGCTTATTGAACATTCTTATAACCCGTGTTTTGAACTTTGTATCTTGTAGATTGCTTGCTCCATTTTGTTTAGTTTTTTTCCTGGAGTTTTGTTCTATTCTTTCATTTGGGACATGTTTCTTTGTTTTTTCATTTTGGCTGACTCCCTGTGTTTGTTTCTATTATATTAGACCTGTGTCTTCTGGTCTTGGCATAGTGGCCTTATATACTAGGTGTCCTGTGGGGTCCAGTGGTGCAGTCTCTTTGTTCACCTGAGCCTGGTGCTCTAGTGGTATCCCGTGTGTGTGTGCGCACACGCGCGCGCACGCCCTTCTGTTGTAATTGAGTCTTGGTTGCTATTGGCATGTCTGTGGGTGGATTGACCCTCAGCCTGACTGGCTCTCGCAGTGGCTGTAGCAGATGATCTTTCAGCCCTTGGATGACCCCATGGATTGAGAGTTATTTTAGCAGGCTATTTTACCAGCCAAGTCTGCCCTTCAGGTGTTTCCTTTGTGGAGTTTCTTGGGTGGTACCCTGGAGTGGTGTGAAGCCAGCCACTGGGAGTGTTGGTCTGGGGCCTCATGGGAGGGGCTCCAGTGCAGGTCAAGGGCAGCTGCCACTTGTGTTTGGTTTGAAAGCACTTGGAAGAGTTTATGTTGTGAACTGATAACCAGCTGCCACTTGTGTTGGGCTTTGGACACTTTGGTGTACACTGATGTGAACTGAGGCTGTCACTGGAAAGGGACCGGGCCCAGGTGGGTCTGCCTCAGGCCAGCCAGTAGTGTGTGGGTTCTTCAGTTCATGAAGGAAAGATTTCACAACACAAGTCCAGATAATTTTGAGAGTACGTTTGTTAAAACCAGAGACAGTGAAACAAAGGAAGGGCTTAAGATAGCGGAAACAATAGAAGTGAGCCTAGGTTAGTGCTCTGCTTTGGCCCTCTAGAAATGTTATAGGAAAGAAGTGAGCCACATTGGGCTGCATGGACTCACTGAGAAGTGAAAGTCACAGTGACAGAGTGTGCCATGGTGGGGCTGCTGTTAGCTCACTGAAAAGTCACAGAAAAGGGTGCCTTGGAGACAAGTTCAGGAGGTTAGCTCAGGATGAGCTGCTGCTGCCCACTGCTCCCCTGTTGCAAGTCTTGTGGAGACCCTTAGAGTTTAGGAGAAAGAAAGTAAAAGTTCATATCGGAGAAGAGGGGGTGCAGGCATGCTCCAAGGAGAACTCGCTGGATTCTTTGTTTCGAGAGTTCTTACCTGTTTTCTAAAGGCAGGAATCCTAGAGGAGGGTTTCAGCAGACTATTCATCAGTTTTCCAGGTGTGTTCTTTAAAATATGCAGATATGCCGAAATGAGCATATAAGGGATCAGAATCATTTTCTGGTCAGCTTTACCTCTATCATGAATTTATTTGATTCTAATTGTTTTTGTTGCTATTATTTATTAATTCCCTTGACTTTATCTGTCTTTGGGTTTGGCTGGCACAAATGCACTAATTGGGTCTCTGTTATATATCTCCTGACCAGAGTGATTTAACCTATTTACTCTGGTTAGGGAGGAGAGGTGTAAAACCATTTTGTCTCAAGTGTCCTTGGTTAGGGAAGATGAGATCTTGTGATTTACTCTCTGGCTATAAATTGCTTAAATTGTTTGGCCCCATTTGTCTAACCTCTGCCTCAGTTTCCCTTTTCCCACTTGTCAAAAAAATTATCCTAACATCTAACTATCCTGTCTCAAGGCTAGCCACCATTTGTGCCAGTTGCAGCATGTTCCAAGCCAAGACTGGCTGATGTTTTTGCCAGGCTTGGGGTCATCTGATGGGAATTACAATGAAAGTTGAGTCAGTCACCACTTGTGCTGGGCTTGGGGCTGCTTGGCAAGAGATACAGGGCACACCAAAGCCAACTGCTGCTTGTTTGGGGTTTGGGGACCTTTGAAAGGTTTTAGGAAAATCCACAGTGCAAGTTGAGGCAGGCTACTTTTGTGGAAAAGATGCTGGAAGTGTCTGGGACTGGGTGTGTGAATTGGGGGGTGGGTCAGGGTCTCAGGAAATTACCAGGGAAGGACAAAAGGTATTAGCCAGGTTAATGGAGAACTCAGATTTGTCGCCTGACTGGGTGGGAGAAGAGTTCAACAAAGAAAGAATGGCGCTTGTCAGCACTTCCATCAGGGAGAGAGCTATCCTGACCCCTGCTCTCTCGTCTATTTAGTTTCTCCTCATATATCCTTGGTGCTTTAAGATCTGCTGCCCCTGCACTGGGGCTTAGAATGACTGTGAGTGAATGAGTGAGTCACTGCATGGAGCTCCTAGATTTCCAGCAGCCTCTGTCTCACTTGGACACAATCCCTGCTGGTTTTCACAGCCAGATGTTATGGGAACACCTCTTCCCAGCACTGATGTCCACCTGGGGAGCCTGGTGTGGAGCTTTGACCCCTTGCTCCTCAGGGGGGACTTCCACAACCAAGATATCCCTCCTGATACTTAATTGCCACACCATGGTTGTGAGATCTACCTGTGTTGTGTCTCCACCCCTCCTGCTTGTCTTGTTGTGACTTCTTCTGTATATCCTTAGTTAAAAGACTTTTGTTCAGCTACTCTTCAGCTGGTTCTCAATGATGATTGTTCCATAATTTAGTTGTAATTTTAATGTGGTCATGGGAGGAGGTGATCACACATTTACCTACTCTGTCATCTTGACCAGATTCCTCTTAGGTTTCTAACAAAGAATACCCTTAGTTTGTGGGACTCTGTGCCATTTCCTTTCTCCCTTCCTCCCCCATTTCCCTCCCTTCTTTCCTCCTAGCTTTCTCTCCTTTTCTTTACCTACAGCAGACTTATAGCAAGTTACTGTACAGTCTAATCTAGAGGAAGACCCCCCTCCAAGGGGGTGTTGCCTAGGAAGAGACTAGCTGATCACCTGGAAAAGACTCTATAGGCCTGACCGGTGTGGCTTAGTGGTTGAGCATCGACCCATGCACCAAGAGTCACTGGTTCGATTCCTGGTCAGGGCACATGCCTAAGTTGTGGGCCAAACCCCCAGTAGGGGCCTTGCAGGAGGTGGCCAGATTGATGTTCTCTTTAATCAATGTTTCTATCTCTCTCTCCCTTCCTCTCTCTTTAAAATCAATTAAAAATACATAATTTAAAAAAGAAAGCCCTGGCCAGTTTGGCTCAGCGGTTGGAGCACCAGCCTGTGGACCAAAGAGTCATGGGTTCAATTCCTGTCAGGGGCACATACCTCCATTGCGATTTGATCCCTGGCCCTGGTTGGTGTCGTACAGGAGGCAACCAGTCGATGTGTCTCTCTCACATCTCTCTTTCTCTTTCACTCTTTCCCCCACCTGCCCTCCCCCCCTCTCTCTCTCACTCTAAATGGAAAAGTATCCTCAGGTGAGGATTTAAAACAAACAAATGAGAAAAGGAAAGACTATAGGGCATCGCCTCAGTATAGTCACTTATGATATTCATACGGTTCTCTGCAGTGTGAGTTTTTTCAGGTATTCAAAGAGAACTGAGAAACTGAAGATTTTACTACACTTTTTACATTCATAAATGTTTCTCTCCTATGTGGGTCCCATGTGTTTGAAAACTTTGATGATATCTATAGGCTTTTCCAGATTGTTTACAATGATAGAGTTTCTCTCCATTGTAGGTTCTTTCATGTATTTGAAGTGAAGTTGAAGAACTAAAAGTTTACCCACATTTATAGGTTTTTCTCTCCATTGTGATTTATTTTTTATTTTATTTTATTAATTTTGATGATGTTGTTAATCCTCTCCTGAGGATATTTTTCTACTGATTTTTAGATAGAGTGGAAGGAAGGGCCCGGCCGGTGTGGCTCAGTGGATTGAGTGTCGTCCCATAGACTGAGAGGTCCCAGGATACATGCCTGGGTTGCGGGCTCAATCCCCCATAAGGGGTGTGCAGGAGGCAGCTGATCATTGTTTCTCACGTCAGTGTTTATCTCTCTCTCTAAAAAATCAATTAAAAAACAAAAGCAAAAGAAGAAGGGAGGGAGGGAGAGAGAGAGGAACATTGACACATTGATTTGTTGTCTCCTGCATGACCCTCACTGGGACAGGGGATCGCACCTGCAATCCTTCTGTCCAAAGGCTGATGCTCTAACAGCTGAGCCAAACCGACCAGGGCTCCATTGTGATTTCTTTCATATTTTTCAAAACACTAGAGATAACTGAAGACTCTCCCACGTACGTTGCATTTATGGCTTCTCTTCATAATTCTGATACTCAGGCTTGTGTCCAGTTTGACATCTGATATGCATATTATGGAGTAAATGGTGTATAAAGACTTTTGCACACATACTATATTCCCGTTGTTTTACTCTAGAAGTTTTCTTGCTCAGGTTGAAATTTGGAATAAGGCTGAAGTTTTCTTTATAGATTGACTATCCTCTTTCCTATCAGATTCTACCATATATTTTCTTAGCTTTCACGTCTGGTTTTTGTACTGATCTTCAATGTTATGATCTTTCTGTCTTGTTTTTTTTTTCCCTACTAAGGCCATGTTCCTGACAGTTTCTCCCGTAACCTCTCTATAGCGTTCCTTCTGTGAAGGATCCAGTAAAGCCTGCTTCTCCAGAGTGAAGTTCACAGCCATATCCTCAAAGGCCACTGAGTCAATTTCTAGGTTTCCTGGATCTCCCTGGGTCCTTCCTATACATGTCACAACAGGAGAGAAGCTATGACACAGTCAACAAGGCTGTGAAGGGTAGGCAGCAAGCATCTTCCCAGCATGATTTGTTAAAGACTGTTCTTTCCGCCCTGCCGATTTGGCTCAGCAGTTGGAGCATCGGCCCATGGACCAGAGTCCCGGGTTCGGTTCCTGCTAAGGGCACGCACCTTGGTTGCGGTTTGTCCCTGGCCCTGGTTGGGGTCATGTGGGTGGCAACTACTTGATGTGTTTCTCTCACATTGATGTTTCTCTCTCTCTCTTCCTCCCACTCTATCTGAAGATAAATGCAAAAAGTCCTTGGGTGAGGATAAAAAAATTTTTTAAAAAGACGGTTCTTTCCCTCATTGAATTACCTTTACACCTTTCATCAGGAATTAGTTAATCATGTATGTGTGATTCTGTTAATGGGCACTTCAAAGAGTTGCTGTCAGCCTCCTTGAACTCCAAACTCTTGTCTCTTCAACTCAGCAAGACCGCTGTGCTTTCCTAGGAGTTCTCCCTGCACAAAGGTTCAGAATATACATCCAGGCTGAAAGCCAAGCTGAATATGGGGCTCACCTTCCTTGTCTCCCTTCTTTCAAGAACCAGTATTCTGTTGCCTTTTGTCCATGTCTGAAAACAGCTGTTTAATGTGTTTTGTTCTGTTCTTTAGTTTTTTTATGTTGAAGGGCAAGTGCCATCCATGCTCCTTCATAGCTAGAAGCAAAAATCTGTTCTTTCTTCCTTCCTCTTTGTGTTTTGGTTTGGATAGTTTCTATTGCTGTGTCTTCAAGGATTTCTGAGACTTTTTTGGTAGTGTCTAATCTACTGTTAAGTTCATCCAATATAATTTTTATTTTAGATATTGTAGTTTTCATTTCTGTAAGTTTCATTTAGTTATTTTTATGTAACCCATTTTTCTCTATATTCATGTTTTCCTTTGAGTCCTTCAACATATTGAGCATATTTATAATAGCTTTTTTTTAAAAGGTCCTTGTCTGCCGATATCATTATCTGTCATTCCTGTTACTAACTTTTCTCCTGTTTTTGGGCGAGTCACATTTGCTTGCCTTTTGGCATGTCTAGTAATTTTTTATTGGATGCCAAACATTGTGAGTATTTCTGAGTATTTGGATTTTATTGTCTTTCAAAGAGTATTAAAGTGTGTTTTGGTTAACAGTAGGTTATTTCTTATATAAGGTATATCTAAAATGCTCTTTACTTTAGGACTTGTTTACCATTAATACCAAGGCATGCCCCTCTGGGGTCTCTACTGTTTGCTCTGAGTATTCAGCCAGGTCTCTACTCTAGATGGACAGAATAAGAATGCCTCCTTCAGTGCCAGAATTAGACATCCCAGAACATTCTTTTATATATATATATATATATATATATATATATATATATGCGCTACACTATCTTATTTGAGCCTCACTACAACCCAGTAAAGTAGATAGTGTGATTTTCATTTTTATAGATAAAGGTAGCAAGGCCCAGGGATGCTGGTTTTGTGACTTGCTCATAGGGCAGGCTGGATCCTGGGCCCCGGTCTCTTTGATTCCATTACAGCCATATCCTGTAAGCTCCGTGAGAAAGAGGGAGCAGTTTTTCAGAGAGTATTTTCTCAATTGTGAGTTGCACATTTTATACCTGTAACGTATCTTGAATCAAAGGGATATATCTTACAATAGAAATGTATGGGGTCATTGTTCTTCCAGAATAGTTGTCATTGAATCAGTTGTGGTGCATCTAAAAATCACTGTGTTATAGAATCAAGCAGTGCCAAATAGAGCCTTGATACATAATATATGCATAATAGATAGTTGTATACTAGGTTTAAAAATATGGTGACTTGCCCTGGCCCATTTGGCTCAGCGGTTAGAGCATCGGCCTGCAGTCCAGAGAGACCCAGGTTCAGTTCCCACTAAGGGAGTGTACCTCGGTTGCAGCTTATCCCCAGCCCTGGTTGGTCATGCGGGTGGCAGCCACTCGATGTGTCCCTTTCACGTCAATGTTTCTCTCTCTCTCCCTCCCTCCCACTCTATCTGAACAAAAAATGGAAAAAAATGTCCTTGGGTGAGGATTAAAAATATATATATATATATATATATATATATATATATATATATATATATATATATAGTGACTTTATATAGCAAGATGTGCTTCTAAAAGTTCTATGCCTCTGCTTGTCTTTCCAGGTATTTTATGCATGGTGTGTGTCGGGAAGGAAACCAATGTCTGTTCTCACATGACTTGGCCAATAGCAAGCCATCCACCATCTGCAAGTACTATCAGAAGGGCTACTGCGCCTATGGAACTCGTTGCAGGCAAGAACCCCGCTACTGCCCCCAACCATTACACTGAGTTGAATACTATCAGGGATTTGGATCCTTCATTTGGAGCATGGGTCTTGAGGGCAAATTTTAAATTTAAAAGTAATATGACATTACAAAAAGCATGGTAAATAATTTTGAAACCTTATTTTTAGTACCCAAACACTAATCTTCAGAATCACTTTTCAGGCCTCATTCTTATGAGTCTCTAGTTATAAAATGCCCTCAAGGTATATATATATGATTTTATACCTTGCTCCCCTGCCCACAGTTAACATGTCATAAGCTTTTTCCTGTGCTGCTATTTTATAATGTTTTATAATCTTAACAGACCATCATTTTATTAACTATGCCTCCATTAGAAATGTAAGCAGCTTTCAGTTTTTTGCTATGGGTACCCGTGCAATGAACATTTATGTGCATAGAGTCTTCCTTTTTACCACTGACATCTGTAGGCAACGTAATAACTTCTAAACAGGGAAATATTTCAAAAACCTGTTTCTGTCCTTTTGTAATAAAGAGCTGCTTTGTTCTTTCATGGGCTGCAAAGCCCCCTTCAATTCTTCCTGTGGCTACCTAGGTGATAATGGAAGTTGGTCCACCTTGCCCCTACCCCTGCCGGTAGGTGCCCCAGAGAGACAGCCCAAGAAAGGCTGGTCTCCAGCTGTTACATTGGCCATTATTAACATTGTGGGGACTCCTGCCCGAAAGAACGCTGGATTGGGTGTCAGATTTCAGTTCGACATCTGTCTGGAATTTTTAGGGTTTCTTTGTGTGGTCTGGGAAGTATGTCTGTCTCACTGAAGTCCTATAAGGACACTTAAATGTAGGTGATAGACAGCAATGTAGCACTAGTTCTTACTAATCGATAAAAGCCTTTTATCAATTAAAATGTGGGGAAAGAATTGTTTCATTTTCCACCTTTGCAAATGGAGTGGAAGGAAGGACATTCCATGTCTGGGCAGTGTGGGAGACACGTGCTTGTAGTGTGTCCATAATCTGCTGTGTGTTTTGTTTAGATATGATCACACAAGGCCCTCTGCTGCAGCTGGTGGTGCTGTGGGCTCCGTGCCCCACAGTGTGCCCTCCCCGGGCTTCCACAGTCCTCACCCTCCTTCCGACCTCACTGCACCTATTGTGAAAACTAACTTACATGAACCTGGGAAACGTGAGAAAAGAACATTGGTACTTAGAGACCGAAGTGAGTGAGCAGAATCCTTTTGTTGCCTCTTTTTGAAAAGCAGTTTTGTCTTGTTCTTCATGTTTCTTTCTGGTCTTCTCTTGACAAAAGGACTGCTAACCTAGTACCCTTCCATCCTCTCTGAATGTAGAGACACCATATCTGTCCTGAGAATGGGCTTCATTTGGCTAGAGTATTCAGATGGTGCATTTGGCCTTGTGCCCAAGGCTGGGCTGAGCCCCTAGTTTGGCCTAGCAAAATATAAACAGTGATTTTTTTTTGTTAACGTGTAACTGCCATCTGCATAGGATGGTTGCCCAGTTCTAAACTGTTCATTTCAAAGCTACATATTTTGATAAAGAGCATGTATCGCTGTTTTACCTCTAGGTCAGTTTGTACTCTTAGTTCTTATGCTGAGCCAGTGTTTGCCATTTTAGGTTGCAGCTTTGGTAATAATAGCATGTTGGGGTTTGGGGAGTGGTCTGTATCCTGGAACAGGATTTGGGGAGGAAGAAGGCTACAAATGATAAAAGTTGTTTTTGTTGGCTGGTCCTCAGCAGGTGAAGGAATTTCTAGATCTCGGAATTGTGAGACATAAGATAGACAGATTTCATCCTAAGCAACCAAGTAATTGATCTAGTTAAGTATGTCCCCTCTAAAAAGGCAGTGTGTGTGTGATGGGAAGGGCTCCAGATGTAAGGGGAGACCATAGGACAATTTAACATTGACCTCAGGACCCCAAGACTCCAGATTTTCATAATTCTAGTTGGATTTAAAATGATAGATAACTTTACTGGTATAAAGGAAACCCTGTATACTATCGACCACATTCTAAATTCCCTTTGACTTTATACACACACACACACACTTTGATATACATATTTTAGTGTTAACTGGTCCAAATGTTGACATTTCCATACTTGCTATTTTTAAATAGAAACTTCAGTATTCTTTTGTATAAATATATTATGGTTTTTGCTATTTCCCTATGTTGCCAGTTATGTTTCTCAGTTAATGTCACTATGAACATTTTATGCTGTTCCTTTTATTTTTCCCTCTTGGCTTATTTTTTCCTATATGTTCCCAAGAGTGAAATTCCCAAGGTTAGAGTTACTTAATCTGTTAGGTTTTGACTAGCTGCTTTACCAGAATGGTTGGGCCAGTTTTCATTTGTGTGTTTGCTGTGTGTTTTGTATTAAGATCTCTCTGGCATGGCTGAAGAAAAGGCTTGCCCCAGTGTGGTGAGTAATCCGGGAAGCAGTGACACCCAGAGTAGTCCAGAGATGAAGCCGCATTCTTACCTGGATGCAATCAGAAGTGGCCTCGATCACTTGGAAGCCAGCAGTTCCTACAGCAGCGAGCAGCAGCTGTGCCCCTATGCGGCCGCTGGGGAGTGCCGATTTGGGGATGCTTGTGTCTACCTGCATGGGGAAATGTGTGAAATCTGTAGGTTACAAGTCCTGCACCCCTTTGACCCAGAGCAAAGGAAAGCTCACGAGAAGGTAAAGTCACAAGCCTTTATGAACTTGTTTTAAGAAATTTGAAATAGCCCTGGTAGGTTTGGCTCAGCAGTTGGAGCGTTGGCCAGCAGACCGAAGGGTTGTGGGTTTGGTTCCAGTCAGGGGCACGTAACTCAGTGTGGTTTCATCCCTGGCTCTTTCAGGGTTGTGTGGGAGGCAACCAATCTATGTGTTTTTCTCACATTGATGTTTCTCTCTCTCTCTCTTTTTTTTTTTATCCTTATGCGAGGACATTTTTGCATTTATCTTCAGATAGAGCGGGAGGGAGAGAGGGAGGAAGAGAGCGAGAGAAACATAGACATGAGAGAGACATATTGAATGGCTGCGACCCACACAACCCCAACTGAGGCCGGGGACAAACTGCAACCGAGGTACGTGCCCTTAGCGAGAACCAAACCTGGGACTCTCTGGTCCACAGGCCGATGCTCTAACCGCTGATCCAAACTGGCCAGGGCTCTCTCTCCCTCCCCACTTCTCTCCCTCCATTTCTCCCTCCCAATCTTTCTGAAGATAAATGGGAAAATGTCCTTGGGTGAGGATTAAAAAGAAAGAAATTTGAAATGCACTAAGTGACAAAATTGTTGGTATTTCTGCAAGCATCTATCTACCAGTAATACCTGCATTATGTACCTGGCACATATATTTATTTATTTTTATTTTTATATTTATTTATTTATTTATTTATTTATTTATTTATTTATTTATTTATACACACACACACACACACCCTATTTTCAAGTTCTTTTTCTTATTGTCATTTGACAATTTTTTTTTAAGTGGGAGAGAGAGAGCGAGAGACCAGTGTGAGAGAGAAACATCGATTGGTTGCCTTCCACATGACCCCAACCAGAACGAGAATTGAACCTGCAACCCAGGCTCATGCCCTTGACCGGAATTGAACCCATGACCCTTCAGTCTTCTGGCCAACACACTAACCACTGAGCCAAACCGGCCAGAGTGACTATTCTCGATTATTTAGAATAAAGAAAAAAGAGACATCAGGAGAGAAAAAAGGAGAAACAAAGTTATGCAAAGTTCAGAGAATCTAGCTCAGGAGCCTAGAATGTGTGTGTCTGTCTGTCACATAACACACACACTCTTCTTCCCTTATTGTGGCTGCAGTCTAGCCAGGCTGAGTTCTGGAGAATTTGAAGAGCCCAAGTCATAGAATCTGAGCAGCCAAGTATTGGAAGAGGCCTTTCAGGTCATTAGGCCCCAGTGTTTAAGAGGCACCGCCTCACAGTGGGCCCTGTGCTTAGTTCAGGGCTCTGAAGATGGGTAAGAGAGAAGGAGAGGAACCCCCAGCTACAGTGTAGAACCGAGGAGGAGGTCCGGTATGTAGGGGTTGAGAATGTCTCCCTTCATTATCTTCCCAGGGGAGTGTTCAGGTGAGTACAGAATTAGAGCTTCCTTCTTCACCCAAGAATGCTGAGGTCTTTGTGCTGTGCATGTTGATTTATCTTATATCTGTGTCCACTGTGAACTCCCAAAGGCAGAGCCTAGGTCTTTGAATTCTTTTCATTCTAATGCCTGATACACAGTACTGTACATCACCTGCTTACTGAATAAATGAATCCATTAAATAATTTGGCCCTGGCTGGTTTGGCTCAGCGGTTAGAACATCAGCCTGCGGACCAGAGGGTCGTGGGTTAGATTACTGGTCAAGGGCATGTACCTGGGTTGCAGGTTTGATCCCTGGCCCTGGTCAGGCAGGGTCATGTGGGAGGCAACCAGTTGATGTCTCTGTCTGTCTGTCCCTGCCTCCCTCTTTCCCTCTCTCCCAGTCTATCGAAAAATCAATGGCAAAATATCCTGTAGTAAGGATTAACAACAAAAAAACACAAAGCAGCCCTGGCCAGTTTGCTCAGTGGTTAGAGCGCCGGCCCGCAGACCAGAGCCTCCCGAGTTCGATTTAGGCCAAGGGCATGTGCCTCGGTTGCAGTTTGTCCCCAGCCCCAGTTGGGGTCGTATGGATGGCAACCAGTCCCCCCCCTCCTTCTCCCTCCCCCTCTTCTTCCCTCTCTCCCACTCTGTCTAAAGATAAATGGAAAAAAATATCCTCGGGTGAGGATTAAATAAATAACTTTTTAAAAAAGAAGTGATGCTGCTTACCGCTGACTCTGAACTACCAGCCTAATGTTTCAAGTTAAGGGTTATTCAGCATTTCTGGTATTGGTGTGGTTTAAGGTGGGGAAAGCTGGTGCCCAGAGGAGACCGGGGGGGGGGGGGGCAGTTCTTGTGAACTCTGTGGTCCCTTGTTGATCCTCTAACCTTTGGGGACTTCCGTGGTCTCAACAGTAAATTGGAGGTGACCATATCATATGAGGAAAGCAAGGGACTGGGGGGCCAGTGATGGCTTGAAGTCCTTTTTGTGGTCTGAGAGAGTCGTGTGTCCTGAATCCTAAAGTGGCCACAGTCTATTCTTTCCTGGTCTTGGTTGTGACAGTGTGCCTGGCAGCTGCCCCCTGGCTCTTCCCACTCCCCAGCAGCTCAGCACCTAAGAAGGTTTCCCTCTTCCCTCTCTACTTCAGATCTGCATGTCAACATTTGAACATGAGATGGAAAAGGCCTTTGCCTTCCAGGCAAGTCAGGACAAAGTGTGCAGTATCTGCATGGAAGTGATCCTCGAGAAGGCGTCTGCTTCTGAGAGGAGATTTGGGATTCTCTCCAACTGCAATCACACATACTGCTTGTCCTGCATCCGACAGTGGAGGTGTGCCAAGCAGTTCGAGAACCCAATCATTAAGTAAGTACAGCAAGGAGTCTTAGCTGTAGAAGAGGGGGAGAAAGTTTGATTTGGGACTTTCTTCCATCCACTCTTAAGCCCTCCCTTGTCCTCCAGAGGTATCTCAGTGCAGAGGATAAGTTGTGAGAGCTGGCCCCTGGGTGTATGACCTTGGGCACAGCATTGCCCTTCCTGAGCCCAAGTGCCTTTTCCTTTGAAATATGGTAACAATTCCTGCTGTGCTTCAAGGTGTTGGAAGGACACTTAGCAGGGATCATCTCTGTGAGAAGGTTAATGGCACTGCTCTGTTTAATGCTAGTACTAACAGTTACAGGTGGCTGCCCTTAGGCTGATTGCCTATTGCCCTTTTTAAGCTTCATTTTTTTCCCCATCTGTAAAATACGTTATTTGATGATTAAATGGAATAATGTGTGTAAAACATTTCACATGTCTGATAACACGGAATGTGGAGCCAACAGAGCCCCTCCCCAAGGCTGTATTAAGATATAACCGATATGTAACAACACAGGATTCTTACATTCGGGGGGCAGGGGTGGGGGACGACTAACTTATATTGAGAAGTTGTTGCGTGCTGTGTACTGTTTTAGAAACTATTCACACACATTAACTTATACTTCTCTCAGAGACCCTACGATCATCCTCATTTTACAGATAAGGAAACAGTATGATGAGCTCAAATAACTTGCCTAAAGTTACACATTTGTGTGGTAAAATAACAGCTTTATTGAGATAAAAGTGTTCAGTTTAGTGGTTTTTAGTATATTCGCAGAGTTTCTACAACCATTACCACAATCTAATTTTTTAACATTTCCGTTATCTCAAAGAGAAACCTCTATTTGCTATCATTGCCCATCCCCTCTTTACTTCCAGCCCCAGGCAGCCATGAACTTACTTTCTGTTCTGTGGATTTGTCTATTCCAGACATTTCATGTAAATGGGATGTTCCAGTATTTAACATGGTATCTTCAGAGTTCAGTCATGTTATAGCATGTACCAGTGCTTTATTCCTTTCTATGGCCCGATATTGCATTATATGGATATCCACATTTTGTTTATTCATCAGTCGATGGACAATGGGTTGTTTATACCCTCTGGTTATTATGAGTGATGCTGCTATAAAAGTGTACATGTTTTTGTGTAGATCCATGTTTTCATTTCTCTTGGGCAGATACTGCGTAGAGTTGTTGAGTCATGGTAACTCTATATTTAACATTTTCAGAAACTGCTAGACTGTTTTCCAAAGTGCCTAAACCATTCTGCAATATACCAGCAATGTGTGAGGATTCCAGTTTCTCCACATACTCATTAACACTGTTACTGTCTTTATTTCTGATTTTAGCCATTCCACTAGGTGTAAAGTGATATTTTATTGTGGCTTTGATTTGCATTTCCCTGATAACATGATATTGTATATCTTTTTCTATGCTTTTTGGCCATTTTGGAGAAATGCCTGTTCAAATCCTTTACCCATTTTTAAATTGATTGATCTTTTTATTGTTGAGAAAAACATGTTTTTAATTGTAAATATATTGGCTAGGAAATATCTAGAATGGTCATACATTTGATAAAGGGGTTTAGTGGTGTAGTGGGCACAGGATTTGTAATTTAATCTGTTCCATACTAATCTGATTCTAATTTCAGGTCTTGTCCAGAATGCCGTGTAATATCAGAGTTTGTAATTCCAAGTGTGTATTGGGTAGAAGATCAGGATAAAAAGAACGAGTTGATCGAAGCTTTCAAACAGGGAATGGGGTAAGTGCTTTGAGTTTGGGCATGATCCTGGTGCCTGCGTTGATTCGCTTTGGTCTTTGCCTACAGAGCCTCCCCCTTCCCCCTAAGAATGTAGTCTTAGGGTCCTGAGGACACTCAGAGTCTATTCCTTCTCTCAGGCATCATGCTGGTCTTTGAAGATGCAGAGATGAGCACAGCCATGGTGCAGTGGACTTTTTGTTACTAAGCTGAGCAGTGTCCTAGCCTAGAAATCCTGTTTCTGGTGCTGAGATTGACTTATCTTCTGTGATCATTCATTCATTTAGTTAAAGATTAATATGATAGGCCTTTTCTGGTTGCTTGGTGTACAGCATGAAACAAATCAGGCAGAATCCCAGCCCTCACACAGCAGACATTTTAATGAAGGAAAATAAGAATAATAAACAAAAATCAATAAATTAAGGAAAAAACATATTAAATGGTGAGCTAGGGCTCGGGAGTGAAATATGCTCACAAATGGGGGACAGGAAGTGAAGAAGTTGCAGTTTTAGTGTGGGAGACCATAGTAACATTTGAGCAAAGACCTAGAGATGAGGCAGCAAGCCATGATGTGAATGAACATTCTAAATGGAGGAAAGAGTCTCTTGAAAGGTTCTAAGGCTGAAGCATGTCTACCTTGTTCAAAGAACAGTGAGGAGTGGCTGAATGAGAAGAGCAAATTAGGGAGAATACTGGAAACAAGGGCACAGGGGCAGGATGAGGGGCAAATTGTCTAGGGCTTCGTAGGTCATTGGATGGACTAGGCTTTTTGTTATGGATGAGACAGGAGTTTTGATCAGAGTAGTGATATGAACTGATTGATATTCTGAAAGGATTGCTCTGGCTGATCCATTGAGAATATATTGAAAGAGGAGGCAGAGGTGAAAATAGGGAGACCAGTTAGACTATTGCAATAGTCCAGGCAAGATATGACTGGTTTGAACCAGGATAGTGGTGTGTAGGTAGTGAGAGGTGGATATGTTTAGACTTGCTGATATGTTAGATAAGGGACAGGGTGGGGCAAAGTAAGTTTATAGTTGTGAGTGCACAAAATACAGAGTTCTTACATTTTTATTGTTTTTCAAAAGAACCAGCTGTAACCCTACTTTTGCCCCACCCTGTATTCCTCCCTGTGTTTCTTTCTCCTCCTCCTGTCTCTTGTAAGAACAAGTGTGATTGGTTTTAGGACCCTGCCATTAATTCAGGATGATCTCATCTGGAGATCCTTAACTTCATTTGCAAAGATCCTTTTTCCAAAAAGGGTCACATTCACAGGTACCAGGTCTTAGAATTTATCTTCTTTAGGGCCTCTATTCGACGTGTTGTACATGGTGTCTTAGTCCATTTTTGGCTGCTCTAACAAAATACCACGGACTGGGTGGCTTATAAACAACATAAATTTGTTTTTCACAGTTCTGGTGGCTGGAAAGTCCAAGATCAAGGTGCCAACATGGTCATGTTCTGGTAAAGACCACTTCCTGCTCACTGTGTCCTTGCTCAGTGGAAGGTGCAAGGGGGCTCTGGTGTCTCAGTTTTATAAGAACACTAATCCCAGTATGAGGGCTCTATGCTCTAGACTTAAATCACCTCCTAAGGACCTACCTTCTAAGCCTGTCATGTCAATTTTAGGGGAATACAAACATTCAAAGCATAGCACCTGATAACTGAAACTATGTATATCAGAACTGTGTAAAACAGGGCTGCCTGTTTACCATTTTGATGGATATCCATCTTATTTGCAGCTGTTGGCTATTCTGGATATTTTTTAGAATTCCATTTTAACTTAACAGCTTTTTAGCTTACCTCTTTCTTTTTTCCAATGGTTTTCTTGGGGCTGTAATATAATCTTAATTTTTTCACAGACAGATTTAAAATGCCTACTGTCTTATATAATATGCAGTTACCTCCTTATTACCATCTTTTGCATTACGATAAAATGAATATACATTATATTTATATATACTAGAACCCACAAGGTAAAATGTAATTTTTTAAATTTCAGCTTTATTGAGGTAATTATGACAAAATAGTAAAATACTTAAAGTGTACGTCATGGTGATTGGATATATGTTGTGAAAGGATTCCCCCCTATCTAGTTAACACATCATCACCTCACGCGTGCGAGCGTGTGTGTGTGAACATTTGTTCTACTCTGATAGCAAATATCAGTTATATATACAGTGTTATCAACTATAATCACCATGTTTTACAGTATATCCTTGTTCATTGCATAGGTGAAATCTTATTTACCCGTGTTTATGGTTTCACATTTTAATGCTCAAGTCATTAGTCTATTTTGAGTTAGATTTTTTGTGTATGGTGGTAGAGAGTTTTCATTCTTTCACACGTGGCAGTCCAGTTTTCCCAGCACCATTTGTTGAAGGTACTATTCTTTCCCCATTGTATATTCTTGGCTCCTTTCTCATAGCTTAATTGACCGTAAATGTGTGAGTTTATTTCTGAGTTCTCTATTCTGTTCCATTGATCTGTGTATTTGTTTTTATGCTAGTATTAGACCATTTTGATTACCAGAGCTTTGTAATATAGCTTGAAATCAGGAATTGTGATGCCTCCATCTTTGTTCTTCTTTCTCCGTTTATTTGGCTCATTTTTTTTTTTATCCTCACTCGAGGACATTTTTGCATTTATCTTCAGATAGAGTGGGAGGGAGAAAGGGAGGAAGAGAGAAACATCGATGTGAGAGACACACATCGAGTGGTTGCCACCACACACCCCTATCCGGGACCAGGGACAAACTGCAACTGAGGTACATGCCCTTAGCGGGAACCAAACCCAGGACTCTGTGGTCTGCAGGCCGACGCTCTAACCGCTGAGCCAAACTGGCCAGGGCAAGTCTTCATTTCTTTTCATTTTTTTTGGGGCAGAGTTAATGCACAGCATTTAGAGCCTCTCAGCCCTTTTCTTTGTGGAATTGCTTCCTCACTTTCTAGTGGCTGATTTCTTCCAGCTCTGTCTTTTGGTTCTTCGGGCCTGAAGGACTGGATTTTTCCATGGCAGTTTTGGCCACCCTGCATAGACACACCCAGTTTTGGCCTGCTCTTGGCCAAAAGCAATTTTTTTTATAAAGATAACTCACCTATTTGCCATTCCTTCCAGGTGTCTAATCTCTTGAAGAATCTTCCTACTGCTGTTCATTCTCCAGTGCCTTCAGGTCTTTTAAAAAGTGTTTGTGGCCCTGGCCAGTTTGGCTCAGCGGTTAGAGCATCGGCCTACGGTCCCGAGAGACCCGGGTTCGGTTCCTATTAAGGGCATGTACCTCGGTTGCAGTTTGTCCCTGGCCCTGGTTGGTCGTGCGGGTGGCAGCCACTCAATGTGTCCCTTTCACATCAATGTTTTTCTCTCTCCCCCTCCCACTGAACAAAAACTGAAAAAATGTCCTCGGGTGAGGATAAAAAATAAAAAGTGTGCCCTGGCCGGTTTGGCTCAGCAGTTGGAGCGTCGGCCTGCGGTACAGAGAGACCCGGGTTCGGTTCCCGCTAAGGGCACGGACCTCGGTTGCAGTTTGTCCCCGGCCCTGGTTGGTCGTGCGGGTGGCAGCCACTCGATGTGTCCCTTCACATCGATGTTCCTCTCTCTCTCTCTTCCTCTCTCTCCCTCCCACTCTATCTGAACAAAAAATGGAAAAATGTCCTCGGTTGAGGATTAAAAAAAAAAAAAAAGTGTTTGTGTTTCTAGATATCTGCAGGAGGTCTGGTCTAGGAGAAGCTTACTGAAAGCAGAACTATATGTTAACTTATGGGTTCCTTTATATTGTACATTAATCACTCACTAAAGGCTTGGTGTTTTCCTTCATGTGATGTTATCATGTGTCCACCAGAGGGCAGGAGTGGCAAGGCAGAGGGGTTCAGCATGTAGGAAGGAGCTCTGTTGGAGTTGACCAAAAATTCTTGTTGTTTGGATCTTTCCTGGCCTTAGTTTCCACTGATGGGAGTATTTTTATGCATTCCGCAAACATTTACTGAGTACCCCCTACACATCAGACACCTTCAAGCTAAGCACCAATGGAGGCTATAGAAAAGATTGGTAAATATAATTTCATGGGAAATTGCTAAAGGGCAATTATGATACAGGTTTTCTGGTGACAAATTCTTCATGAAACGCCCAAGCCAGATGTCACAACACTTGGATCCACCTGAGTGGGAGTGTCAGGGAAAGCTGTGAAGTATGAAGAGCCTCTCCATGTGTATTGGAGGTTGGGGGTGGGTGCATAGAATGACATGGGTACAGAATGGTACACATTTTGTATTGGGGGGGCGGTGGGAGCGGTCACTGAGGTTGAAAGAGTTATGTAGAAGGATGTGGTAGTGTGAAGAGGTTGGAACCTGGTGGGGGAGACAATTAATGACTGACAGGTGGGCACCATAGATGGCACCCCCTAAGGGCTTCAACATTGGGAACTGAAAAGACAGGTCGATTTGGGAGGTGCTCTGTAAGCAGAAGTAATTGTGTGTGAGAGCACAGAACAAAGGGAGTGAGAGTGAACTGGGGCTTTTTGTCCTTGGTGACCAGATAAGGCTTGGGGAAGAAAAAACAATTCTTTTAGAGAATTTTGAACCAGATGAGTCTGTTAAAGCCTGTGTCCAACAGACTGGTAAGAATGCACCACTTGAGCAGTCAGTTCAAGCTGCTCAGGACCTCGGGGGGAGGGGGTCATGGAAGGTGTTCCTTTCACATGCCTATGCTGGACTCAGACCTGGTGAGAGTGGTACCCAGGCAAGCAAGGCAGTTCCTTCCCCTTGTGGGCAATTGTTAGGGTCTAAGGGACCCTCACCACTGGTCTTGCTGCCATCCCCTTGTCTGAGTCCCCCTTCTTTGTCACCTGCCACCATCACATACCCTGGCTTCCCCTAGCAGCAGCCCATCCTTTCTGCTGTGATTTGGCTTTCTTTCTGCAACTTCCCTTCTTCGACACGCCCAGATGGACCTTTGGGTTCTTGGGCTCTCTTCCTCTTCTTCAGCTTGGAATTGTTTATGAAAATTTCATTCGAGCAACAAGAAATGGAATTCTCAATTTTCCTCAGGAGTAGGGGTTCTTAACATAGGGGTCTGTTAGTATAATTTAAAACTAGGGGAGAAAATTAACTTTCTAATACTTGTGTTTTATGCATTTAAAAACACTGTTCTGTGAGAGGGTCTGAAACACAGTTAAGAATCCCTGCTCAAGAGGGTAGGGAACAAGGAAAACTGGAGTGAGGCCTGTAACTTTAGGCAACTGCTAGAATTCACTGCTTTCCCTATGACTCTATTATTGCTGGTCTGGAGGAAGGGACACCTCCCTAGGTAGAGGTCCTACTGGGGACTTGGAACTGAGGAAAGTAGCCCAACTTCAGCACCGTGGAGCCTATGACAGCTGGCCCATAAGGAACAATCACGCCTACGTTCCTTGTGGCCTTTTTAAGCACTGCAGGCTCAAAACAGTGGAGTTCCCACACAGGTTCAGTTCTCCCTGAGGTTATATGTCACAATGGGAATATTATCCAGCTTAGAAATTAGCATCCCAACATCTCAGGTTCCCTACTTTTATAACATGAGGTTGACCCAGTTCTGGCATTGTAGGCAGTGGTTCATCTGGGCCCTAGATTTTTCTTACCATCTTGATATTTTCTTTCTGCTTTTCAGAAAAAAAGCTTGTAAGTACTTCGAGCAAGGCAAGGGGACCTGCCCATTTGGAAACAAATGTCTTTATCGCCATGCATACCCTGATGGGCGGCTTGCAGAGCCTGAGAAACCTCGGAAACAGCTCAGTTCTGAAGGCACTGTGAGGGTAAGGACTTTGCCATCTCTAATCAGGCACACTCACCTGTGGGCATTTCCAGATACTTCTCCTGGCCCTTTTTCTAATAAACAAGCTACCCAGCCTTCATGTTGCCATTTATACTCACCGGGCATATTTGCTGTTTTTGCAGTTCTTCAATTCAGTGCGGCTCTGGGATTTCATTGAGAACCGAGAAAGCCAGCATGTCCCCAACACTGAAGATGTTGATGTGACAGAGCTTGGGGACCTCTTCATGCACCTGTCTGGAGTGGAGTCATCAGAACCCTGAAGAATAGATGGTTGGTCGCCCCTGCGTCTTGGGCTCCACCAGCACAGCCTTTCCCAACTAGGGTGTGCAGAGCTTCCTTTACTGCAGCCCCAGGTAGCGTGTTATTTGGATTTGAGTGGGGTTATATTTAGCCTTGGTCTCATCCAGTCTCCATTATTACAGCCATGAGAAGAGTGAAGGATGTAAAATAACCTAACAGGGATATGGAATCACTACTTTTATAGCTGATATCTTAGTTGCTCCTCAGAGGGGCCAGCTAAATGGCCAGACTGAGTTTTGATTGATTGCTTTTAAAACGAATTTGGCTCGTCCTTTATGAGCTGTAGCTCTGTAGAAACCACAGCCAACTTGCAGTTGCCCCTAAAGCAGATTACCAAAGGATTCTTCACCCCTTAAGATGATTCCTATAGTGAATTTCCATAGTACTTAACTAGTATGTGGTCAAAATTTGTTTTTCCAGAAACAAAAAAAATGGGCACTGCTTACCTGAGTGCCCCAAATCAGAGTAGGAGTCTTGTTGCTGTATAGTCAGTGAGCAAAGTATAAATCTCCCCTGTAAGAGGAGCTCTTGAAGTAGCAGGAAGTATGGGGTGGTAGAGCAGAGGTACAGCCCTTCATGTCTGGTTGGTAATGTGGCCACGATTAGAAGGAAACCTTGCATATGTGCCTCCAAGGAAACATGTCCCTAGCTCTCCACTGTGGGCATGGCCCCCAAGGTAATCCTACTGAGGGCTTGGTACACACAGGCTCTTGTGTGTGGCTCCTGCCCAAGCCACCTAGACTTACCTGTAAAAAATTTCTGGTTCTGACCCAGCAGTGGTCCTGAGCATGACTCTGTCATCAGTTGTGATTTTAATTGAAGGAGCCTAATCTTGTGAATCAGAACAAACTCACTTTAACTATTTTTATAAACAGCTATAGATATCAAATATTTTGTAAAATGCATTAAAGTGTGGGTAGAAAAAGGTCTATTCTTACCTGAGTTTACTTTAGAGTGCTTTATGCATAATTTTTATAGTTAACTCTTTAGTGACAAAGAGTACAGGTATAGGCTGAATCAAATTCACTCCCAGCAGAGGCTCTGGGCCCATTTCCTGCTTCTTGAGTCCTGTTCCAGAAGGGATGAACAAATGGAGAGTTCAAGCTGTGAGCTTAATGTTACTCTAAAAGGAAGAAACAGCCAGTAAGCCTACATTTAATTTATTTTATTAAAATAACATAATTGAGGAACCATCACATAACTGTATTTTGTCAGGCAATAAAAACAAAATTAAAACCCAAATCAAGAAAACCTGTATTCCTGGCTTCCTTGCATACACATGATGTGACTGTTGAGAGAGAAGGCTGGCCGGTGGCCCCACCCCATAGGGGCAGCTCTTGGAAGACAAAATTCAGCATGATGGAAGACTGCTCCCTGAGAGAGCGGAGAATGGGAGGGCAAGCCAGGCGCCTCTTCTGGAAAACCACCCCAATGTACTAGAGACCTCCAAGAAAAGGAAGGGTCCCCAAACAAGTTCCATAGTACCAAAGCAGACTCCTTTAGGCGGCTGTGGTCTGGACACTCCGGGCTGTTCTGTGCATTATGTGCAAAACTACCTGTTTGGCGCCACACCACTATCTCTGAAGAAAAAAGTCCTTCTTCCGGTGATAAGCAGTCTTCATAGGAGCTGATATTCAAAAGCCACGTGCTCCCCCATCAGGGCTGGTTTGCCTACCTTCATTTCCTCTCAGAGTGCTTTTTCTTGCCCTAAAAATACTCATTTAGCCAATCGCTGGGGTCCCAGATCACATATTGCCATCAGCAGCCACTGGTGCATCTGGAGAAGGCTCAGCTCATGAGCATGGGGGACGCAGGTAGGGAGCAGGACAAACCAGCGTTGTGAATGGCTTCCTTCTCCCAGGACCAGAAAGGGAAGAAAAGAAGGCAACATGAAGTAAGGCCCTGTGAGTAGTCTAGAAGGTCCTTAGCAGCAGCTTCTCTGAAAACAAGCTCTCTACTCCCGTAGAAAGGGAGCAGAGAGGTGGTGCTTGCTGACTTCCCTTCCTCCCCTGGTGGCCTGAATGTAGGTGCAAAGTCAGCTAGAAGACAGGCAGTCTAGGGGATGTGGTCAGCGTGCAGGCATTGATATCCTCAGTGTGGGCCGCCCGATGCAGGGATGGCTCAGAAGCGCTCCGGTTGATTTTCGGTAGAGAGTGTTGGAGCAGCTCAATGGAAGATAGGATCTGAAACAAAGCCACAAAAGAGTCATTATGTAGGCCTTCACCCCACTTGTAAAATCTTGTGGAGAACACTAGCCCCTTCCTATTGAAAAACAACAAACACCATACTTCCTCTCATTACTTTTCATTAAGAACTCCTGCTTAGTTAGTTCCAGCACCTTTGAGCTGAGTCTTACCTGGGGGAAAAGAGGCCTTTCTTCCTTAACTTTCTTCACACAGTCAGCTACAAGCCGCTTCATTGCTTTGGGGCAGTTCTTGTATAGCTTACTAAGGTCTGGGGAGGCATACCCTCGGCCCACCATGAAGATGATCTAAGGGAAAGTATATTGAGGGAATGAGTGATTAAACAACACTGAAAGCTGCAACTTTCAACACTCCAACTGTGCTCAGACAGGCAGGAGGCCCAGGGGTTTCCACAGTTAGGTCTTTTAGTGGCAGTGCCCATACCTGATCTCGGTTGTTGATGTGGGAGTAAGGTAGCTCCCCTGTCATGAGCTCATACAGCACAATGCCATAGGAGTAGACGTCAGACTGGAAGCTGAACGGGTTATTATCCTGCATTCGGATCACTTCTGGGGCCTACAGGGACAAAGTGCATTCATCACCATCTTGGCCCCTCACACATCTAGGGGCCAAACTATCCCTCCCATTGGGTATGAGAGTCCTTTCCTCTGCCCTCTCTAGCTATTCCCTAAAGCCCCCCACCCAGCACCCTCAGGGGCTGGCTCATCTGAGTTTAGGAATCCAGCACTTCCTTTAATCTAACTCCAAGCTATGCTTCAACATGGTACTGATCACCAGCTTCCTCCAGAAAACCCAAATTCACCCCAGGCTGTCTGACATCATCCAAAGCATTACTGCGTTTTTACACATAGACTTCCAGGACACCCCTTCTTCCTTGCATCCTCATAGTGGGAGCCTCGCCTCACCATCCACAGGATAGAGCCGGTGGGTTGTTCAACCTGCTGAGAACCACTCCAGCGTGACTTGACTGTTGCCAAACCAAAATCCCCGATTTTCACCGTTAGGCCTTCGTGGAGAAATATATCTCAATGCTTGTTAAGGATTGTGGCTTCAAAACACTGGTCAAGTTAATTTTGAAAAACTTACCAAAGTTCTCACTGGCACAGTGGACTGGCACAGCTCCACTTCCCATTGCCCCCCAGTCTTTCCTGCACTGGATTTACTAGGGTTTCTGAAGTTTTAAAAAGTGCTTTGGAAATGCCACTTCTGTTCCGGAAGGCATGCTCAAGATGCAAGATGATTTGGCTCCAGCCCAAAACAAGGCCATTTCCCCCTTGCTTCCCCCATCCTACATACATCTAGGTTCCAGGTCCCTGGCCTTTAATTCCAAGACTTCTAAGAGTGCAGGCTGCCGTCTGGTGCTCCTCAGAGCCTTGCACAGCCTGCTGATTCCTTACATTAGTTTCTGCCTGTATTATGCCCTCATGTGACGTGTGAATTAACAAAATAGCAAATTCCCTCAATAAGTGCTAAATGCTGTCCTAAGACATTTCTCACTAAAATAGCTACCACTCAGTGACTTCAAAGTCAGAACAAATTTCTGGGTTAAGAAGTCAGGCAGTTTAAGGCTGACCTGTGATCTGCTGATGCCCAGTAATTTCACACCTTAAAGTCTGCTGTCTGCTTTCATGGCATGATGTGTTGGTCCCAAAAAAACCACTACTAAAAAAGTATTCCATGCCTCAGACATGTACCCCAAATAAGCCATGTCCCATAAATCAAACAACACAACCGTCATGCCTGTCATGGCCAAGAAGCAAGGCTCAGCTGTGATGCCACACTCCTTTCAAAGAGAAAGGTTGGGGGAGCGAGAGAGATGTAAAAGTGTTACCTTAATTCATTATTTCTACAAAAGCACATGAAGTCTTAGAAAGGGGAAGAGTTGATTCTACAAGTAATCTCTAAGGAAACTACTTCTGTACATTTAAGACAATTTATAAGTAGTAATTTTGAAAGTTTTACATTTGGCTCATAGATACATTCTCACCAGATACACATGCACTCTCCACAAACTAGGGGGGGGGACGACAAAACCACATCCCCCATCCCAAGTTAAATTTAGTAATAAAACTAGACCTATTTCAAGCGTAACCCAAACACAAGCTCATCTCAACTCTTGTGGAAATACTCCCATGGTCACTTTTTGCTGAAATAAACGTTGAAAGTCTCCCTTCTGTTTTCCTAAATTAGAACTGAGCAGTCAAATGAAACAACCACCAAAGGATACTGTTGGATTTCATGTCTCTGTGGATGATGTTCTTTGCATGCAAATAGCTGTGAAGGAAAAATAACTATTAAAAACAGTTTAAAGGGTATGGCTAGAAAGTAGCTTCCAACTACAGCTATGAAGCAAACTACCTGAAGGCCTTGCTCCCAGTGGATCTACATCCGGGGATAGCCCTGCACTGGTTCAGGCGGGGCCACGTGGTGCTCACCCTAAAGGTAAGGCTACAGCAAAAATGGAGCTACTCTTCTTTAAGCATCAGTTTTATTCAAAAAGTAATTTTAACAAATCAAAATATCCATCAACTAATAAGTAAATGCAGCATATATCCATATAATGGAATATTCAGCAACAGAAAGAAATTAAGTACTGATATATACTACAATATTAGATAAACCTCTCAAAACATGCTGAGTGAAAGCAGCCAGATACAAAAGACCTCATATCTTGAAAATGCTATAAAATTAGTGACTGTTGCACAAATGTGAATAAACCAAAAAACACTGAATTTGTACATTTTAAAGGGGTGAATTTTATGAAATGTGAATAATATCTCTAATTTTTTCCGAAAAGGTGATTATGACTAGTTATTTCCTAAAGTATAAGGTAGAAAATGAGACTTTATATAGCACTTACAAGCACAGCTTAGCTTAAGCTCCCAGGTGTGTGGGGTCTAAGGAGTTCCTGCTCCACCTCATAAGGAGGGCACTTCAGAGGAAAAGTTTCAGAAGCACAGCTCTGGGCTGGCCAAGAACAGAACACACACATACATGCCTTTCACAAAGAAATGTGTCAGGCACAGAGACACAAATGGGTAGTGTTCAGTGGAGGCACTGAGGATGACTCGTAAGCATTCTCCAAAAGAAAAATAAATTATCCAAAAAGTGACATCTGATGCCCACAGAGGGCACAGCCATGGTTGTAAGGCTGGGTGTCTGAGCTGGATTTTGAGGGCAGTGACTAGAAACTGAATCTGAGCCCCAAGGGAACAGCCTCATCTTAGGCAAGGAACATGAAAGTGTCATTCCTTCAGCCCATACCAGAGACTTAAATTTTCAGCTGTGCAAATACTACAGAAATCACTTAACAGACTTGGCTTTTCCTAATTCTGATTCTGATTTAGGGACAAGTTGATGCTTGGACCCCAAACTTTGTAGTCATCAGGCTGTCTACTCACTCCATTCCCTGAGCTGTCTGCCGGGCAATGTCAATCAACTGGAACATCTGAAACTTGGTCTCTTGGACATGCAGGTGTTTGTAGAGGCTGCTGCCCTCGCACCATTGGGTCACAATTGCCAGGTTGTCCTTCGTCATGTACCCCATGAAGAGCAGGATGTTCACGTGCCGTGTCTTGCTGGAGGAGGGAGGAGAAAAGGTTCTGAACTTGATCTTGTTTCAGAATAGAGACATCTACTCTGCTTCCCCACTGACAACAAATCCTGTGTGCTTTTGACACCCACCACCCGTGCTTACAGTCTGAGTGGCTAGCAAAGCAAAAGCACATGATTACAGATAATCCAGTTGGTGTTCTGAGCCATCAAAAGGAGCCTGCCATGATTTACAATTCACCTCAGTGCTGACTTTGTTTGTAGAGAGAACATTCTCTTTATCATTGTACACTCACAATTCTCCCCACAGGGTTCAGCAGGACCCCTCGTTGGTGGCATTCATCACTCTTCAACTTACTGCTACAAGTCTAAATAGTGACTCAAAGATTTGAAAGCTGAAGGTTTGACATCCACAGCCAAGGTAATTTGACCATAAAAGGAGCTCATGGAAATAAATGCAAAAATAGAACCTATTACTCCCTACCTCAAATCAAAACTCAAGAGATAGAATCTGGGCTACCGAATATAGTTGTGTCCAGAGGTTTATAACAGTAGAAGGGGGTATGCTCATCAAAGGGGGCTCTTCTAAAGGTTTGACAACCACATAAACTAGATTGAAACTTCCTACTCCCTCTCACTTGTAAGGGAGGATACTCAGCCACAGGCCTCCACCATGAACACTCACTAACCACCAGTTCCAGCTATAGGCCTTCAGAGACAGGTCTGCACCGTACAAGCTCACTTACTGTGATTTGTGTACCACCACCCATGCCCTACCCCTGCCACTCCAGGGGAGCTGGGCAAGACAGCTTTCTACTCACCGTAGTACAGCCACCTCATTCCTGAAGGCCTGGAATTGCTCTGGTGTGGGGTCAACTACCTTTAAGATCTTGACTGCAACGTCTCCTGCAAATTAGTTTATAGTCAGTACAATCAGTTGAATGATCTTACTTTATTTTTCATATACGCTAGCTTTGAGATATAGCGAGTCACTTATTCAATCATGTACCTACACAGATGGAATATGCAAACTTCTAAATTACTCAAGTGGCTAAAAAAGTTACATAGATTATACCACTATCTTTAAAATACTAACCCACAGGCTTTAACAGACTTGGTTTAAACTATTCCTTTGAAGCCTGGCATCCAAAGGTAAGGTTATGTGTGACAGGTCACAACATGGGCCTGTGAGGATGACGTCAGTGGGTGGATATGAATGGCCCAGCAGATACTGAATCTTTGAGACCAAAAGGCTGGCGCCAGGAAGGAGGCCATTTAGCAAGCACTTGTTAAACCCAGCAGGCACATTTCAATGAGACCTGAGATGGTCCTTTGTACAAAATCAAAGATATATTGAAATTAAGCTTCTTTGTTTTCAATACCTTAAAAAGAATTCCTGCCCTGGCCAGTTTGGCTCAGTGGTTAGGCTGTCAACCCATGGACCAAAGAGCTGCGGGTTCAATTCTGGTCAAGGGCACGTGCCTCAGTTGTGGTTCGGTTCCTGGCCCTGCTTGGGGTCATGCAGGAGGCAACCAATCAATGTATCTCTCTAATATCCATGTTCCTTTCTCTCTCTCGCTCTCTCCCTCACACTGTGTCTGAAGATAAATGGGAAAATATCCTACGGTGAGGATTAAAAAAAAAAAAAAGAGGCCTGGCTGGTTTGGCTCAGCAGTTAGAGCATTGGCCCACGGACCATAGAGTCCCGGGTTCAGTTCCCACTAAGGGCACATACCTCGGTTACAGTTTGTCCTCGGCCCCGGTTGGGGTCGTGTGGGTGGCAGCCAGTCGATGTGCCTCTCTCACATCGATGTTTCTCTCTCTTTTTTCCTCCCTCTCTCCTTCCCACTCTATCTGAAGATAAACACAAAAGTGTCCTTGGGTGAGGATTAAAAAAAAAAGAATTCCTAGTGAATAGTAGTGATTGCTTACTATACCCTGGCACAGTGTGTGTTTTCACAAGCCATTACCTCATTTAATCCTCACAGTTGTCCTATGACATAAATACTGTTATCCTCATTTTACAGAAAACAAGTAAGTCTAGTCTCAGGTCAAACAGACACAAATCAAAGTGCTGGAACCAAGATTAGAACACCAGTCTGACTGCAATGGCTACTTCTAACCATGATACTGACAAGTTACTGTTAATCACTGTCAGTCGCTGTGAGCTTCTTTATATAACCTTAGAAATATCCATGGATCAATTCAACTTTGTATGTGCTACCAAGTTAGAAGCCAATTTCAGAAGTGCCTGTATATTTACCATAGAAATTATAATAAATTACTTAAAGCCCTATAAGGATCTCAGATTTTCGTGGTAAATGAATTTACTAAAACACAGCCTTCTGGTGATCAAAGTAGGAGTTAGCTGAATGGCACCTTGGAGGTGACAGCTTCTCCACACATGAAGCATGCCATATCCTTGTAACCTCTGCTGGAGCATTCCTCACTTCACTTTTGGGGAGCACTAACTGGTAGATTCTTATGATAGGTCCCAAACTGTTGCACTGTGATCTCTGGTTTTATCAGCTGAAGCCAAAGTCCCACTTAACAACAATCTCCACACGGCTGTGTCTGTGACGGTGCTGCTGACCTTGGATGGGAGATGCACACTATATTCAGAGTTGCCTTCTATCTAGGAAGATGGAGCTAGTAAACCATGCAGCCCAAACCTCAAGTTCCTTATGACTAAGACAAGAGTCGCTGACATAAGTACTCATTCTGGAGCAATCTGAGTCAAGATTGGGAGAGGGTGTGTGCAGAGGAGATATAAATCTCCTGATAGAGAGGACATAGAAAAGTCTAAAAGAAATGAAATAAAAGCCAAGGGATGGATTTTACTAAATGGAAAGAGACTGTTCCAAACTAAATACACCAGAAATAAAGGTGAGGTAAGCGGGTGGTGAGAGAAACAAGCTGTGCTCAGAAAACTAGCGTAGCCTGCAGGATAGGAGTCTGCTGCAAGAGCCCAGGTAAGGTGCAGGCACAGTGACATGGAAATAGAAAGGAGGGAGCGGAGGCGAGAAACTATCAATATAAACTGATCCAATATGGCAGTCAACTGAGTGGTGGGGCCAGGAAATGGCAATGCTGGTGGCCCATGCACTGGGCAAAGCTTCAAAGAAGAGAGGCCAGGATGGGAGGGTGGAAGGAAGGCTTGGGGAGATGCTGGATGGTCCCTGAGGAAGGGTTGCTTCTCAGGAGTTCCTAGTTCATGAGTCCTTCCCTTTCTTACAGCTTTCCTCTGGACATGCTCCAGTTGTCACAGAACCCAGTGGCACCAATTTTGGACCTAATCAGTCCAAAATGCAACCTCAGAGCTCTGAGGATTCACTGGGTGCCAAAGCCTGCTCACAGTGATTCACTGTGACCTGGTAGTCAGCTGAACATCCTCCACCTCTACCCTCCATTTTTTGGAAGAGAGAACAGGACTTATCCCTATTAAATTTCATCTTTTCCGTCCTGGCTGGTTTGCTCAGTAGTGGTTACAGCATCGGCTCGTAGGCCAAAGAGTCAAGGGTTTGATTCCAGTCAAGGGCAAGTATCTCAGTTGCAGTTAGGTCCCCAGCCATGATTGTGGTTGTGCGGGAGGCAACCAATCAATGTATGTCTCTCGCATCAATGTCTCTGTCTCTGTCTCTCGCTTTCCCTCCCACTCTTTCTAAAGATAAATGGAAATCAAACAGTAAGTGTTGGCGAGGGTGTGGAGAAAAGGGGACTCTACTACACTGCTGGTGGGAATGCAGATTGATGTAGCCACTATGGAAAACAATATGGTGTTACCTCAAAAAATTAAAAATTGAATTGCCACTTGACCCAGTGATCCCACTTCTAGGAATATACCCTAAGAAGCCTGAAACACCAATCAGAAAGAATATATGTACCCCCATGTTTGTAGCAGCACTATTTACAATAGCTAAGATCTAGAAACAGCCCAAGTGTCCATCAGTAGACGAATGGATAAAAAAGCAGTGGTACATATACACAATGGAGTACTATGCAGCTGTAAGAAAGAAAGATCTCTTATCCTTTGAGACGACATGGAGGGACCTGGAAAGTATTATCCTAAGTGAAACAAGCCAAACAGAGAAAGACAACTATCATATGATCTCACTTATTTGTGGAATATAATGAACATAACAGTCTGAGGAATGGGGTAGTCCCAGAGACGTGGAAGTGGGGTACAGACTGACAATCCCCAGAAGAGGGAGTGGTGGGGGAGAGATAAACCACAGAACTTATATGCATGTGTGCATGAACAATGGACATGGACAACAAAGCTTGGGACAGGGCAGGGAGGGAGGGGGAGGGGGAATCAGTGGGGGGAAAGGAGAAACATCTGTAACAAAAATAAATTAATAAAAAAAAAATAAAGATAAATGGAAAAATATCCTCAGGTGAGAATTTTTTTAAAAAAGTTCATCTTTTCTTTGTTCCATTATCACAGCCAGTTCAAATGCTCTCATCTCTATTATCCAAAGATACATCACAACTCTCTGTGTCACCACAATACCTGAGTCTTCATTCAAGTCACTGATAGGAAGACTGAACAAGGTCAAACCAAAGACAGAGCCTTATGTTCCCCACAGCGACCCATCTGCCAGTTGGCTTACAGTGGACAGTCATAGTAACAGATTATGTGCAATTTATCACTGAAACCCAGAGACTCTACATGATGCCATTTCCTTGGAATATTCCAAGAATTGCCATGATAGGCATTCAGTCTGCTAGGGACAATAGGAAAACATAGGAAAATGGACTTCAACTCATATATAGTAGAGTCCAACTCATATATAGAACAGTTTTCTACCTGGTAGGAATTGCCCAGAGCTAGATTTCTCATGGGATCCTATAAACCCCACCCCCCAGACCTCACTCCTGTTAGCCTTTCCCCTCGTCCACTCCACTAAGGCCATCAAGACCACCTTGAGTTCCTCAAATAGGCCAGGTGAGTGGCCCACTTTACACCTGCTGCTGCTGCTTCCCCAGGTATCTACACCACACTCTGGCCTGCCGCTTCTTCAGCAGATTCCTCCCCTACCAATCTACAAAAACTGGGAACAGGGCCTGCCACTCTATACCTGCTTTCTTCCACTTTTCTGCTTAGCACTTATAATACATTATATACTTTATTTTTCTTGGTTATTGTCCCCACCAGAATATAAACTCCATTGAGAGAAAGAATTTTTATCTGTTTTGTTCACTGCTTCATTCCTAGCCCCTAGAAGAATGGTTGGTATTAGAAGAATGCTCAGGAAGCATGGCAAAGGAATGAATACTAAGATGCAACTGTCAGCAAGATAACTTAGGAATTAACAAGCTGTTTGAGACTCTGGAGTGGAAAGTAGGGACAGCCTCTGGTGAGGAATACTGATTTAGCTGTACGCAGCCCAGGTCCAGAATCAGTTTCGGGCAGGGTAAGTAAGGACTCAGTATAGAATTAGGTCTGGGCCCAAAACAAAGGCTGCTCTCCAAATACCTCTATAGCTAGCAATCTTACAACATCTAAAGGCTGGTACTTATTTATATTAGCAAGTAATATAAATGACAAAGGTAAACAGCCAGGGAACTTTTTATGGAGGGTAGCTACATGAAGTAGTTAACCAGAACTTCTTAATTTCCTTTAATGGTAAAGTCAGAAACAAATATAGTACAAACAAGTTAAGACATGTTCCTACTGGTTATTGTTTTTAATGAGATGTTGATATCTTACCATCACTGAAGAAGAGCTGTTATCATTGGTAAATTTGGAATGTTTTTAACCTTTTTAAACACCAATTCATTTCCCCAGTTAACTCCTGCAATTGTCTAAAGCTTATTATATATACACACCCTGCTTTCTGGAACAGAACCGAATGAGCACCATTCCCCCTCTTCTGATTGACTCAGTGAAAGTTATAAACCTCACCCTTAGGCTGAGATAGGGATCCCCAGACAAGGGTTACACCAGACTGCTTGCCTCACACTAAGTGGCTTAAGACAGTTCTCCAGTTTGGAA